GTGACCCGGACGATGCGCGACTCAGGATTCGATCCCGGCCTGTGCGTCTGGTAAGCTGGCCACTTCCCATTACACCACAGCCGCCCATCGCTTCAATTATGTAGGGTAACGGTGAAAAATAGTGTCCCAGGTCACATCAATCGCCCAAACAGTTTCTTTTTTGATCGGATTTCGGCGGTGCCCTCCCTTACGAAATCTCTAATTTGTTCGAATTGTGACAAACGAGGCTTTTGACATGCGCTATATTTGGAGGCGCTCTTATAAAAGTATAAAAATATTCACGAGCGTCCTACATAGTTATGTGTGCAAAATGGGGTCTATCGTTTCTGTTGTTGATCGAAAGAACATTTTGCCATAGCAGAAGCGTTGTCATGGGGCTCAGATATGAAACAGAACTTGCAATTGACTCGCCAGTTAAAAAGGTCAAATTCTTTGAGAATAAGGATTTTTACTGGGCGGTAGGGAAGAGATGGAAGCAAAAAGTTGAAGAGGAACAGGGTGGGTGGGCGTGAAGACAAATTCGAAGACGAGATAGCATAGAGAACGAGCGAGACGCAGACGCTATCGTATTCGTAACGGGGCTCGTGGAATTTACATGACGGATGGAACTTACAAACCCCTATCGCTCAAGCCTTTGCGTCGCAAGGGTAGCACTATATGTGCGGTTTCCAAGCCACTACCCCATACGTTGACGTTTTCGATGAGCTGCTTGCGAGATATACCTTTGAAAACGCGCACCTCATTTTGAAACCGCTTTTAATTTACTGTAATTCCAGGCGAAGCAAGTTTCCCGATCGAAGTTCTGGGGCGAGGCTCGGACGGTTGTTCTCGAGCGTGAACCTAACAAATCATTTGGTAAGCCAGCCGGAATACTTATTTTCTTTCATTTCATTGTTTGTTGTTTTTATTTACAATGAATTTCCTCATCGTTTGTTTCAGGCATATCGATAGTAGGTGGACGAGTTGAGGTGTCACAAAAGGGTGGATTGCCTGGAACTGGCAGCACAGTGTCGGGGATTTTCATCAAAAGCGTTCTACCCAACAGTCCCGCGGGTCGATCAGGCATGATGAACATGGGCGATAGAGTGATCTCTGTAAGTCGAGCTACTAATTGTCTTCAAGTACACCATACATAATCTGGGTGGTCCCTACTTTTTGGGCATAGCTGATCAATATCAGTTGACTCCAAATGCTTCTAGGTGAACGACATTGACCTACGAGAAGCGACACATGAGCAGGCGGTGAATGCCATCAAAAACGCCACAAATCCAGTTCGCTTTGTGCTTCAGTCGCTTCACAGTTTTACTCCGCAACAGGTATATCCCTTTTTGGGCTAACTACTAGGCTAACGAATTCACAAGTTTTGGCCAGTGTAATTTGGTCAAATAAAACTCCATGAACTCGGCCTCTTCCAAGTTCACTAATAAAGAGAACCTAAAAGTGAAGAAATATTAAGGCTCGGATAGTCCGCCTCATGTCATGAATTCCTTCCTTAGATAGACCACGTCCCGAAGCGAACGCTGGCACGTTCTTAACCCGTCCACCTTCCAGAGCTTTCCAGAGCCAAGATAATTTTGAAATTAGGTTAGAGAAGAGCTCTTCTCAAGGAGCTAGTCTACTCCAAAGTTTGTGTTAATGGCAAGATAAACGCATCCCTCTGCCTCTATTTAACCTTCTAATCTCCGATCTGTGCTTCAGAGCGCCTGCGAACCA